CTGCTGATATTAACATAGATGACCAAAATGGATAATCTGTATATGAATTGATTGACATGAAAGGATTCAAATGTTCAATAGTTAACTTTTCTTGAATATTATTAATATCAAAATCATTATTATAATTATTATTGTGATAACAATTCCATGTATAATGAATATTCATAAGATTTAAAAAATTTGATATTGTCTCTTTATCATACTGTAACAAACAATGCTGTTGTTTCATTTGTTCAATCATCATAGATCTAGACTTTTCACTGAAATTATCGGATAATTCAAACATCTTAATGAATCAAACGAATAATTAATTCATATAAAATGGTTGTATTAACATGAGTTTCTTTTTAAAATGAACAAGGATTGTTTGTTTAAAAAAATATTATTTTCAAATTTTTTCCATAAAAAATGTATATACGATCATAAGTAGTAGTTTACGATTATTGTTAATAATAACTAGTAATTATTAAATTATAAACCAATCGGATTTATTGTTGACGCGCTAATTCAATTTTTCTATCTTTTGTATATTTTCAATTATCATTCCATACAAGATATATATCGTTAAAAAAAAAATTTAAAAAATATAAAATGATAGGAGAAATATGTTTATTCTATCTCAGAAAGAGAATGAGAGAAAATCATTCTAAGTAAAATAATTAACTGTCGGTTATTCTGCAATTTTGATTGGTTCATTAGCAAAATATGAAATAATCGTTAAAGGTTAGAAGAGAATAAGAGTGTATTAGGGCAGAAAAATAAAATAATCTATTATCTTATTTCATACATTGAGGTACCAATAAATCATAATTATATCAGAATAGGGGGATGTGAAGATTGGGGTAATTGAATTCATGAGTCGATTATAGCTAGACCATCATGGAAAACATGAAGGTACTGGATGACTGTTTCGTCCTGGTTGAAGTTAGATATTAATAACGTTGAATGCCGGCTCAGTGGTCTAGGGGTTAAGAGTTTGCGCGCGAGACCGAAGGTTCTGAGTCCGATTCCCGTGTGTTGGATCGTGAATCCACACTAGTGAGAGGTCCCATACTAGAACGAAACCGCCATTTAATACTTTCAAGTTTTCTAGCTTTAATCGACACGTGAATTCAACTATTACATCATAATTTGTATTTCAGTTCTGTGTAAAATGTTCCACAGGTTATCTTATTTGCTTAAGTTCAGTATTATGTTATACATCATATATTGGATCTTACTAATTTAAATTGTTAAAAGATTTTCATTATCATTTCATTTTTCGATATAAAAAAATAGCCTATTCAGCTGAATTTTTCAGTTTCACTAAGATATGATCAATATGATATATAAAGATGGAATAGAGAAATTAGGTGATCCATAGTTACGGTTCTTTCTATGAAATTATGATTTAGTTTAATTAGCCCTCCATTTCTTGTTTACTCCAAAAAAATAATGAGATTTAACTATGGCGAATCAATAAGTAGGCTATTTGTTAAAACATTCGACTTTTAGTTATTACTTTGAACGTTAAAAATTGTTCTATTTACACTAGTTTGAATCACCATGTAATATTACTAATCGTCGACTGAAATGCCACTGAAGAAAGGATGCTGAAGAATTAAATGTAAAACTTACCATCCTTCATTTCTTTTTTATACTTACTCATTTGACTAATTTGGTATGACCCTTTGAGGATAAAACCAATGAGATAATCGCAGTTTGGTTAATACTTACTTTATTTTTATCATAATCTGATTAGTAGAACCCCATGAAACCCAGGTAGTTTCTGTTGGATGCTATGACTTATAATTTTGTACTTGAAACTTATTCGATAAGAAGAAATGACTCAGTCGGATCGACTGTTTTGGAGAAATAAACTTTCAAGTAATCAAACATTAATTACTAATTAACGTAGATGATAAATTGTATTGAAACAATGACCAAAGGAAGATAAAGTATTAATGGACAATCTCTTTGATACACAATTTTCTATTAAGTTCACTGGAACGCTAAAACCTGAATTCATGATATACATATATTGTATGAAGTAACAAGAAATTAAATCACTACGTGTTGACAGTGGAATATCGTCTCAGTTAATAGAGTACATTCAAAGATAAGACGCTGGGTAAAAAATAGTTGAATATAAAAGTTGATTCATTATTATTTCTCATTTGAAAACAGGACTTAATGTTTCAAGTTATGTTTAATGATTCTCGAATTATTCCACCAAGTTTAGATTTAACTATAACTTATACATAAATCGAATGAATAAATATGTAATCCAGAAAAAAATAGCAGGAAATGATAACTATTCATTGACTAACTGTTATGCATAGAAACAATGTATGCTGGAAAAAAGTAGTTTAATATCCGATCATCAGTCAGTTTATATGTATCAATATCAAGGTTGGACTTGATAGATTCAAATAAATTGAGCATACGGTAGAGAGTTAATATTAAATATATTTTTGTTATATCTCATTAAGTAAGAAAATTATATTTCTGACATTTCATGACTTAATGTGAGCCACTTCTTCAGAGAAAATTTTTACTTATTGGAATATAACAAAAATATATTTATTATTGATTTGATACCAGTTTTGACAACAGATCATAACTTCTTTATTATTAGTAAGCCTAGATTGACAAGTTCATTCACGATAGACACAGGTTCACCAGTATCACAGTAATTAGTTTGCCTGTAAATTAATTAATTCGATGACAGGTGAAAATTATTTTTTAGAATGTTTTTTCAATGATTTAAATCAACAGCTCATATTACTACTGAATTCAGAGTATTAATTATTCATACATGTATACGGTCAAGAATATTTAAAAATTTATAAAAGATTATCATTTAGTCATCATTCATTTTATAAACAGATGAATATGTTAATATTCTGCATTATTAAAACATAAGTTCTATAACCGATATCGATCGAATTTGACACTCCTTTGTTGCATTTGTAGATACCATCAATATATACAACTTCCTGAAATCGATGGACTAGTTTTTTTTATATACTATCGAAAGAAAAAATCCTGGATCACCGTAAACATCAAGATGGGTCTTAGCCACACTTCTTACACCGATGGTACGTTCGGTTAACCTTTCAAAATCACCGACTAAATAAAGTTCACCACATAAGTTGATGTGACCAGAAAGTTGTCATTATTTAAACATGCGTCGGCAAATATCAAAACATCTTGTGCAATTGTATTCTTCCTGAACGTTGGTAAATAAAAAAAACCGTAGCTCTAGAAATCAAGGAAGGGTGGATAACATCCTTCTGATCAATGTCAAATGACTAAACCAAAGGCCTATCTCCTAAGTAAGATGTGGAAACTCGTGTATATGACCTATTGACCATACAGTTACTGTGTAAAAACCTTTTATCAAATATATAAGATTTGCGTCCACGACTGACAGGTTGCCCATAACGCTAGGTACTGAATTTATTATAAAACCAACCTTCATGTAATTTGAGAAGCTATCAGTCAATTAGGATGACACTTCATTGTGCATACATATTTTAAATAAAAACCACTGGGGTCTCTCTTATTATAACATGGTAGAAAACCTCTTTCCCATAAGGTTTTAATTCATTTAGAAGTTCCGCTTCCACAGAAATTCCTACACCAACAAACATCACAAATATCTTCAGGATTTAAAATAGACATGAGACAGCAGTGATTGTTAATACAATCGAATACCGATAATTCAAATCATTACTACTTACACCATTAAGAAATATTCTTATAAGGTCAATGCTACTCTCATCCCTTAGAACAAAAGCGTGACGCAGGATCGAGTAAATGAATCCGCGTTTTGTTAAGAAATTCCGATGACTGAACAAATAACTATAGCTACAAACATAGTAATCCAGGTTTGAGTTATATGGGTTTCATACTTATTTGAAGTAGCTGAGTTGTTATACAACACATTCTTGTTGAGACTTTCAATTGGATATTATAGGTATTTTATCAGAAGAATAAATAGAAGTTGTAGTTGGAACAATTTATATTTATGCGTATACGGTACCTGAACTTGTCTATAGTCGATTTTATATTAGGGTATAATTAGTTATTGATCCATGATACCGCGAATAGAGTTAGAGGATTTGTTTGATAAATAGATTTCAGCCATACTTTGATTATCATCTACTGACTACAACTACTTTATAAAACATAACTGAATAATGCTTCTACATTAGCGGTTTGCCCGGGTTTTTCATTCAACCTTAAATACATTGGTCGTTGGTAGGGAAAAACAACTATTTGCTAAATATTTGTTAGTAAACTCTAAACACTGGCTTGATTCATTAATCCATAACTCGAAAACATTATTTTTACTACCAAGATTATCTCGATGTATTGAACAATTTATTCACAGTTTGATTAGCTACTTTGTACTCCTTATTAAACTATATAAAATAATTTGACACAGTAGACGTTCACTATGTGATTGAGACCCGTATCACTCAGGAAATATATAACCCAGTTATTTAAAATGTGGCACTTACATTACTCAAATACTTACAAAAAACCACTATTAATTAGTAGTGCCTAATACAGACACATGCTCAATCTTTTATTGTTGATCGAATTTTACTGATCAAGTAACAAAACTATTATTTTATATGACTCGATACTACGCAATGGATAGGCCTTGTACTGCAGTTTTGCACTTATTAGAAGAAAAAAATAAGAAATCAACTACAAAACAATTTGTTTATATTTACCGTTAAAGTATATTAAAAGAAAAAAATTCGTATGAAAGACATTTTTCGATAAAAGATAATATGATCTATATATGAAGTGCATAAGCACCACAATTGTTTATACGATAGAAATTAACAATTACATATAACATTACCAGTTACACATAAGAAAAAGAAATAAGAAAAATATGCAAATAATAAATATACACAATATCACGATTAATTGAAAGATATCAAGCTTTCAACAAACAACATAAAATAGGTTAGATAGACCTCTCTCTCTCTCCACATATATCACATTAATAAGCACTGATCTGAAATAAGAAACGAACAAAGAATATTATACTAAATTATTCAATTGCTTATTCGTTTAATAAATGATATTCTATTAATCAAAAGGATGGTGATATACAATTTAAATGATTCACGTGGAAGTAATAGGCTAACTGTTAATGAAAATTCTCTACAATGAATTGTTAAGAAACGCTAACATTAAACTGAATAAAAGAGTCTATAACTATTAACTTTAGATGTAGATAAACTAAATAACTAATTTAGGAATATATCTTTGAAAAATTTATATTCTCAACAAATATATAATATCAGATGGGTTTTGTGGATATTACAGTAATTCCAATGGTTAAGATCATGAGTCAGTTGAAGCTAGACCACCATGGAAAACCTGGAAGCACTGGACGGCCGTTTCGTCCTATTGTGGGACTCCTCAGCAATGCGCTTCCACGACCTCGCCCCCTGCGAGATTCGAACCCAGGACCTACTGGTTTCGCGCGCGAGCACTTAAACACTAGACCACTGAGTCGGCACCCAACAGTGTTAATGTCTAACTTCAACTAATCCACGAAATTGAGCGACACATCCATGGTGGTCTGGTTTCAACTGACTAACGATCTCAACCATTGAAATATATAATACTTTGACTTAAAAAAGTAATTTAAAATGTAAACTTATTGAAGAGTTACAAAAACTAACGATTAAGCAGTGTACACTGAAACGGTAGCTCAGTGATTACGATATTTGACCTTCAATTACTAAGCCACAGATTCAAGCCCAACTCCCCTTACTTCGGTTTGAGCAGTTGTTTAGTATGGATAGGCCTCACAGTTAAGGTGTGGCTCAAGGTTAAGCATACGAATTTTTATCGCGTATGGGAGTTAATAACTCAGATTAAAACATACTGAAGTTCCCCATAGAAATAAATGCCAATGAAGCACTTTAAGATGTTTCATAACTTTACAGAGGATGAAATGAGAAACGGAATAATTGAAACTCCTGAACTTTACAAACTAAACTGTACGATACACACTTATCCAAGGGTTTGGTTTTGATTCAGGCATTCACTAATAACCAAAACATGACCCATATACTTTAAGATATAATTTTTATTTGCCCATAATGAAATGAATCACTCCGATTGTAGTACACCAAAGTTCTTGACTCGTAACACGATAACTAAGTTCGTTGGCATTCACAGTTTCCGTTCTCCTCTCACTCAACTCGTTTGCGTGCATTGCTTTATACTACTTGTTGATATTTAGTAACCAGTTGCATTTCTAATAATGTATGGACACATGGTTCAACGTCCATTTATTGTTGCGTAAAATTCTTAAGTATTTGCATAAACTAACTTGAAATAGTTATTTCTAGTGATTGTGCATTCCTCAGATATATTTTTAGACACAAGATTTTCTATGTCTTGGTGCTATTAGTCTCCATCTAATAGTTGATAATTATTATCGACTTTAGACAGCTACTGACTGTGACTTACGCTATCGCACATTGCAATTAATTTTCACGTAATTACTACAGGGAATCTTTTTACCTCAACATATCAAGAGGCGTTAATTTCCAAAGACATCTCAAGATTTGAGATTTGTAAATAACTTGCATTGAACATTTCTTTAGATAAGTCGTTGTTTTGAGTTTCAATTGTTCATGTGTATCTAATTTGTGCAATTAGACGCTTGGATAGATCTTAAAAGTGATGTTTCCTTTAATATTGAGTGATTAATCATCCTCGCGCGAGATTAATCTATTCATTAAAACTTTCGCAATAATTATGAAAGTATAAGATTATTTATGAGCATATTGAATGCTCGTCTAAATAACATATGATGAAGATAGAAATGAATAGAAGTTAAATAAATAAAATAGAAGTAACCTCAGTGATAACAGAATGTAAAAAAACCTCACCAAAAAACTAAATTAAATCTGCATAATAAAGTGAAAACGCCTACCTTCTTCTTGTGGATTTTCGTCGAGTACTTCTTCACCAATTTGAAAACTAGAAGATTCATTTTCACCAATCATCATTGTACTGTTACAATTTAACTTGGCTTTGATTTGTTCGGCTTTATCCATGGCAAGATTTAACTAAAAATTATGTGAAAAAACAAACCATGAAAAGAAATCAATTAATCTGAGTTGTGGCTACTATTTTCAGTCTTTTAGAAATGAAAAAAGACGAAAAATTATTTAACCATTATAAACTTATGATAAATCAAAGCTCGTCTGTATAAATAACAAAAAAACTTTATATTCCTATAAACATACTGATGATATAGCATGAGATAGTCCTGTGAAAAGTAAGCTGATGTTAACTGAAGAACTACCTAAAACTAAGAAAGACTAAACAGATGTCTCATTCCTATTTGAAACTCTAACAGTTCACATATACCATATAACAGTATGTTAAACTCTGCATCTTCAGAATTCATGGCCAGCAGAAAAAAGAAATTGAAGCGAGTTCATGAACAATGCATGCACTTATTAACTGGTTCAAAGAAAAGTTAAAACAACTGGTGGCAATCATCCAATGAAATAATTATAAAAAAATCTTTGTTTTTAATTTGTACAAACACCACATAAAAACAATCTACATCTTACTTCTTTAAACAAAATACTCCGGTTCTTGGAATTAGAATCATCTGGAGAGAAAAAAGAGAAAGGAAATATCAAATAACGTGTGGCCATTTATATTAAAATAATGGTAATAATAATACTTATGAAAACGTACTTATGGACATTACTGCATGACAGCACAATCTGACTAATCGTTGATGCCTAAAAATCCTAGCAAGTATTCTGTACCATCTAAATACAAAGTAGCTTTAAAGTTTATCAAGTCTACACAAAGAGGTTTCAATACATAAGAACTGTATATAAAAATTTATGGTAGATCAAGTATGATGAAATGAAGGACAGTGTTGTCCAGCCGATTTTAATTAGCGCGTTTTTGGGAGCATGGTTGAGGTAACGTAGCAACATTTGAGAAGCCATAAGACAGAGATACAAGTCAATATAGGGAATTTTTATTGCTCTTCCTACCTGAAACTTTCGCATTATTATTTTAAATAAAATTCGTGTACACTAATATTATTGCACAGTAGAAAAAATATAGCTCAAAGATCTTTTCCAGGATACGAAGATCCTCAAGAAAATATCATGAACTTCAGAATTATTTCAAGACTATAATCAGTGATAGAGTTCAGGATGAGTTATCGGAAAGTTTTGATTTCGAATAATGGGAATTATTGTTTATAAACACTTACTTCGTCAGTTTTTTTCACGGAGCGTATTAAAGACAATGATTACGAACTTTATAACAAAAGATTTCGTTTTACAAATAACCACGAAATACAATTTAAATGAAGGAATTAGAAAAATAATTGGATTACGTGATGCTAAAGAATAGTTATGAAGAAATAAATAAACATGAACTAAGTCGATTTAAGTAGAATCAATGTTGTAATAATGAAGAGTATAATATACGATGTAGATTTCTACTTGAGAAAGTGAGTATAAGTGAGGTCCTAGTAAAAAAATCATGATCTGTAAATTTAGACAAGTTGAGAACGAAATAAGAACTGATAGATGATATTATGTGAGGATTACACAACATCATAAATCGAATTGTGTTAAGAATTAGCGATTGAATGGTATCGTGTTCGCTACGAGATCACACGAACCAAAATGCGATCATCTGTAGAATTGTAGGTGTATACATTACTTGCAATTCTCGAACAAGAAAGAAATATCTATTTAATGCTCTCTGGCTTTCCGTAAATATCTAATTGATATCAGTCCATAATGTAAAGTGACTATGAGCGTTTTACTACTTAACCTACAAATAGCTATTATATCACACTTATAATTAATTTAAACAATAAACACCAACTGATGTCATTAATAAAACATAGAAAAGCTTATTTCTCATAAAATAATGAATCATTTGAAATGTTACCCACTGACATAATACAAATCTTGATTGACAGTTACCACTACTGCAACACTGTTTAAAGATGGCGCGAGATAAACTTAGTGATAATAACAAATATAATAATAATAATGGTAAGTCAATATTCAAACATGCAAAGAATATTAAATTATTTTATAAGTTAATTGTTACAAAATAAAGTTGTTAATAAAAACTCTTAACTAGGAAACTTTCTTACTTTGAGCTTCTTTTAAACAATTTGAAAATTCATTTTGAAAGTAAATCAGTGCTTCTTGTAAACGATGTTTAGAAATCTAGAAAACAAATATATGTATACATTGTATTTGCTAACAATTTTATGTAAACAACTTTTTATACTGATGTATAGAAACAAATCACCAACCGATTTGTTGATATATGTTAATTCTTAAAGATTTGTAGTTTAGTCTTAAGATTTGTCAGATGAATAAGAGTACATAAATATATCAACTGAGAATTCTGGTTTTTAACTTAATTTCTTTTTCCATGTTATACTACTAAGTTACTTACTAATATTCATTAGGAGAGATGGATGATAGTATCTAACAGTGGAATCCAGGACGCATGTTTCATCCTATATGGGACTGATTGATTGCAGTCCTAAACATTAATGAGAAGATTCAAACAATCAATACAAATGAATTACTAATATACAGTAGTTTATGTTGTTGTCAATCATTTTTTGACATATAAAACCTATAATCTGTTTGTTATGTGTGCTATTTTCAAATATTCACATCTATTCCTTACACTTATTCCATTTTATTACCGTGTTTGTGTTTCCTTACCATTGTTAGCAGTTCGCCTTTATTTCGAGCGTGTGCCCCCCAAATGTTCTCACATGGCCATGCGTATACAGCCAATGAAAAGAAAGTTCCACTCACTGCCTTCTCGCAGCTGGGATGATGTTTACGAACTTGAGAGGACGGAAAGTGAATATCCGGTTGTTACTTACACTACAACGACTAAACTAGAACTAATTTTACTGTAAACTTCAATTAAGAATGAATGCATTTGAACTATTGTGGACTAGGTTATCTATTTATTTATTTGAACACATACCTATTGGTACAAGAGTGTGCCAAATATATATGCGCCACACAGGTTATCTAACCTCTAACTTTTATCGTTCTAAAGGAGTATACATCCCGTAAACATAACCATCATTAACAGTTGGCATCAGATCATACTTGTTTCTTTCAATTTTGATTTGATCACTACTGTACGATTTAATGGACAGTGATTAGGCGTTAATCCAGTCCATCTAACTGATACAGTGTCACTATTTTAATGCTTCCTGCCTCCTATTACAGTTAAACTTAAGATTGACATCAACACAGGTTACTCTCAGTGATTCTACAAAGTCTGAGCAACATTTCAATGATACTAATGATGAAATCTACATAACTTAAACAGAAAAGCACAAATTTATACTATTTTTAAATTAAAAAGACGTTTAAAGACCAATGATAAATATTCAACCATACATACAAGTTTATAAAACTTGTCCAAAAATTCAACCACAATATTGCTGGAGGTACCTGGTAAAATAAGAAACAATAATTAGAATCAAATATGACACTAAACACGTAAAGAAATACCGTGATAAAATATAAGTTTATTAGAATATTTAAATAGCAAAATCTTGGAAATCTTTATAGTTTACAACAGAAGTGGATGATTTAATGTGTATACATCGAGTTTTCGTTTTCGTCTAGATTTGGACTGACAGACATGCTAACCTATAGTTTGGTACAGAAGTGAAATTTTAGGTTGTCACACTTTGTAATAGAACAGGAAGAGAAAATCAATAAAATTGGGTTGAAAAATGAATCCAGACATTGAATTTTTGTTAATCCGAAGATGTCAACTGAGAAATCTGATTATCTCTTCACACATTTAAAAACAGTAGTTTATGATTAATTGGACTGAATTAATGTCCCGAACTGATTACCTGGTCATTTTTATCGGTCAAATTCTACCTCATTAGTGCACTTTGAGTTAGATTGTGACTTTATCTGCATAACATATGACTCAGTGAACTCTGTCAATGCAGGTTTATACACTTATCTACTTATTTACTCCCTTCGTCGATAAATCTAACTTTAACCATGAAATTTCTCACTTAGTTATCTACCCAAACATGGAAAACACTATGAAGAAACTTAGCGTTGAGCAGTTTTGCTTTACATACATATCCATAAACATTAATTAGAAGATTTTGATATCTTTTTAGCATCACGGATAATAATGTTATCTCAAAATATTGGAAATCTGGTGTAAAGAAAAGCGTTTAAAAAATTGACAGATGATAGTGTTTAGGTAAGCATAGTAGTTAGGATGGAAGAAAACTAAAATTAAATAATCACCCAGTTCTAAAAGTCGACTACGATCAAATTTCTCAGTCAGACCGTCTACCATATCAGTTGAATCAACATTTGGTCCAGATTCTAAATAGGAATCCCTGAACTTTGAAGAATCCAAAGAAGTTGTCTTCACACTTGATTCAATGGCCGGTTCGATTGTAGAGGAATTAACAGACTGATTAAGAGCTAAAGATTCTTCTTGTTCAATTGTGTTCGTTGAATTTGGACAAGGACTAAGAGATGAAGGAAGAACAGAAGGAGAGTGAAGCGATCCCAATGGCAACTGTGTAGAATTCGAATGATCCACCTCAACCAATATGGCGGTAGGCACAGGTTCTGCTCATATCCATACAAATCAATGAAAGTAATGCAGTGTAAATGAAATTCATTATTATTTAAAATAATTGTATGGAAACAATCGTTTAGAATTAGAATAAACTAGAATGGAGATAATATTTATTTGAACACATAAACACTGGTACAAGGGGGCACAGAATATATGTGCCACACAAATCGAATGATTTATGTGGGGGCTGGAATACTGTCCGGGTGCCCGAACCGAAGTAGGTGGTTTTGTTAGGAGGCCACATCCCAAGCCTTTGACATAGAGGTCCAATCTACAAGCAGTGGATCAACGTTACAAGGTAGTCGGTGACCAACAATAGGTTCATACGCCATTTTTTCTCTTAGGATCTTGGAGCCCATATGCACTATTGGTTTGGAATCAGGGTTTTCCAACTCCCCTAGGTGGACCCTCCATATCCATCAACCCGGTTAAAGCTCCGGATATTCACTTTTCGTCATCTCAAATTCGTAAACAGCATCCCCGCTGCAAGAAGGCAGTAAGTAGGACTTTCCTTTCATTGGCTGCATACGCATGGCCATGTGAGAGCATTTTGAGAGGGAGAGCTAACTTTCCCCAACCTTGGTCATACCAGGGCATTGGGAGCAGAATGGAAATAAACAACAAAATGGCCGTGTTTTTTCCCATCTATACATAGCCAAACTTAACAAATTAAAATAATGATTAATACATTTTAGAGCTTAACAGAGAAAGCTTAAGTCATATGGTCTGACCATTACTAATAATACTACTTTAAACACTAGTAACACAGAAAACGTAAACACGGAAAAGAGAACTTTAGAATATAACTGAAGCGATTACGAGTTCACTTAGTCTGCGAACGGAACAAAGACTTGTGACCAAAGACCAATAGACTAGCTATTGTGTTGCGTCCCAGCCCGCTTACTAGAGAGAGAAGTCGAAGTCCGAACGGGGAAGTATATTCCGCAAAAAGCCAGAAGCACGAGTGATAACAACAGACACAAATCAAAACGTATACATACAGTACAAAACCGTCCTTGGGAAGGGTTACAAAACAGCCTACCAAAAGATACAATGGACCAATAGCGTTTAAGATTCTCCCAACTGGGAAATACGACATGAAGGAGAAAAGAGCGATTGTGGCGCGAAAACAAAGAAATTCAAATTTTCAAAATAAAATTACGAAATTATGACCTTTTTCAAGTGAGTTCTGGGGATATAACGTCCCCAACAATAACTAATTACTACAAATTAATATTTAGCTCAATGTTCAACAAGTAAAACGTTTGATACATGTTAAAATATACTAATAAATGTAATACGTTAGTATCGTGTTACAATTTAAAGTATTGAATAAACTAGGAGACAAACAGAATAAAAGACAATATTATGACTTGATGTTTATGATAGCATTTTCATTACCATTGTATCACAATTATTTACTTGAACAAATTGAGTTGAGTATAACACACAGATTGAATACAAACGCATAAAATTCTGATTCATTTTTTTTCGTATTCCTTTTTCTTCTTACCTAATTGACAATTAATAAAACTATAATAATAAAAAGCTGATTTGCTATCCCTTCACAATATAGTTTGTGTGTCAAACACTTTAATATACTTAAAGATGGAATCACAATAATACTAACCAATGTGAATGAATTGTTTCCAAGTATTCCTTAAAACAATTTTCGAAAATAAATGGATAGTAAACTAGATAACAGTGAATTATAATTTCAAATGATTTCAAACAGGATTAAATAATTGTCGGCTGAAAACAATTAGGCAACTAATATTGATTCTGACCATTACCGTATTGGTAAACTTCAAGCCTTATGTTAAAGATGTTACAACCAAACTAATCAAGAATCAATGGTTAGGTTCCTCATAACTCCTAAAAAGTTATCTCACAATAAGTAATACCGAATAAATGACACGGCAAGAAGTTTAGAACAAACAATTAATTGTTCAAAATCTGGTAAGTTTAATCAGGACCATTGTCAACATATACAGACATGAATACAATTGAATGATTTCATTGAATATGAAACCAATGTGCAGGTGACTTACTAGCTTTTCCACTGTATTCATAAGGATTTTCAGTCTTATCATTCTGTCGCGAAAACCAATGCTTAATACGAGTAAGAACTCCAGCTTTATCTGAGGATAAACAAACATTAATTTGTTCGACTGAATCTGTCGACAAACAGTCTCCCCTAAAATATGTAAAATTATCACTTGTACCTGAATCTTGTGGTTGATATGTTTCAGAAGTAGGTGATGACTTGCTTTTCAATGAAGATTGATGATCATCTTTTTCTTTTGGTAGATAATGAAATAGGCCTTTCTTTGATGAATCGGCATTCTTTTTAGGCTGTCGTGATACATCATAACCTAAGATCAATATAGTGACGAAAAGTACATGCATGCACGAAAACATGTGAAATGAAAAAGTAAAAACGCTAAATTGAGTGAAACAGATTTGAAAAGTAGAAAACATGCATTTGTAGCTAGTATGTGCCTATAGATGTTTTAGAACAACAGCTTAGATAATGCTAAAATGATGAAGATTTGAAGCTTCATCGACTTAGATGGTAGAGAAAAGAGTTATTTATGTTCAGCCATTTACTATTTAAACAAAGCTGACTATCACAGGAGTAGTTTCAAAAAAACCTGAGGGCGACTAGACAAAAGTATCCTATGAAGTTGTACTGAAAGAACACTCAGGTGAGGACAATCAATTTATATTGTTTAATGCGAAATTACAGAGTTCTTTGGTAAAATGTGACAACCATACATTAAATACTTCATTTGCAAATCTTCCATCACATGTCTTTTATATCCTTCATGATTCTTCTAATTCTCAAATCCTTTCTGTTTCATCTCATGTTTTCTTCAGATCAATCTTCTCAACCCTCTTTGGAGATGCATTCCACCTCTAATCAATGTTACATACTACTTATGTCGACAAACACAGCACAGTCACTAACTAAATTAAGGCGAGATTGCAAGTTTAATGATTGGAATCAGTGAGGCAGACATAATCGACGATTCAAGACTATACATACCACGTCTGAAAATTGGTTCACAGAGCAGATGTATTCACTCGTTATCCTCTTTTAAAGCCCGAATTTTCATATTATCTTATACTTTTAATGTGACAATTTTATTCGTTTTTTAATGTTTTCAATGTCTATTTTCCTGATGCCATAAACAATATTGATACCTTATTCCTGTTAGTTCTCATTTAACCAATGTAAGATCGGTAAGACACTTACTGCTTATTAATTCAGCTTCCTTTTTAAGCTTCTCAAGAGGAAATGTATTTCCATACTATGGAAACGTATTTTAACCAAAAAGCACTCAATTCATTAGTTCATCGGTCTACATTCTTATTAGATATCTTTTATCCATGCAAACAAGTACAGTAATTAAATTTATCCAAATTTGAAATTTTACTCACATTTCACTGGAACAATAGGATCAGGTAAATTAATTGCTTGACTGTTAAGAGTTTTTGGCTCTAATTGAGGTGACGACGATGAAGTCACATCCGTGTGACTAAGTAGACATAATTCTAATTTCAGTGATTCCGTTTTTAGTAAATGATCTTTCATCTGAAATTATAGTTAGTAAATGACTGATGAAAAAATCAAGCTCCCAAAATCTCATTTTTGTAAACTAATTTCTAATATAGAACCTACAGAATATGCAACAAAACACGACTCATCAACTGCCTAATTCACGAATTCGTTGACTTCTCCTGCCAGAACTTTGAGAAATATATCTCGGATGAATCTGATTATCAATTGAGTGAAAACAATTCTGTTGCAAAGTGATTAGGATATAAAATAAATAACTTTGAAAGTATATACTACTGAATAAACAACACAACTCAACAGCCAGGAGTAAAAGTAAGTTAGAAGTTGTGAGCTATAGTGATTAAGGGTTAATCGGATAGTTTATCACTCACATGGTTGAAAGTCGTCCTTAAGCCATTAGATTACAACCTCACAAATACACGTACAACACCTAAAAAAACACTATCGTCAAATATTTAAGTGACATAAACTCAGTAACTGCGCATACATTGAGATTTGAATATCCCACGGAGTCGACTATTAGTAACAAAGTACATTACAAAAAATTATATAAAAGACCCACTAAATAGACATAAAGTATCGTCATCAACGTAAAAGTTTAGTCACAAATCTGTTACTAATATTAATGCTGTTGAAAAATACAATAAAATACTTTTCACCAAAAATGCACTAACCAGGTTTCGTATTTGCGATTTCTTGAAGCGCGATGGCTCATCTATGGTAAAACAAAGAAAAGGTTACAGTGACGATCTGCCGAATACATTTTATTATACCAAACGGAAACTATGTTAAGTAATTAAATATTTTTTTAATTCACGGGATTTTAACAAGTACATTTTATATACCACCGAAAGATAAACTAGATCGATACGTAGACCCCTCTCTATCTTTCTCTAAGTCTCGAGTAGTTCCACACTTTGCATACCTAGATCTCGTTTTTCCTTCCGATACACATTTGTCATATATTCATATTGTAGATGCTATAATTTCCAGTTCACTACTTCAGATTTGGCCGATTTCCCATCTCTCGCAATGTGCTGGTTTAATATATAGTAAATTGAACAGATCGTATGTTGTCTTTGACTGCGTAGAACTTGGTCAATACTCTTAAATGAAACAAACATTCATAAACTCCTCAATCCATCCAATCAAATCCATTAACCAAGCAAGTATAAATTTGATGAGATTTATGGATTGCACAAATAATTTTGTGGGAACTGGTCATTCTTCACATTCGTTGAGAAGAATATAAAACAAATGAGGATTTACACAAATGTCATCAAACTGACCAACAGTATAATACATGCTAATTCTTAGTTTAAGTCACAGTGCAGATGGTGACTTTTAAGAACCCTTTAGTAAATTCACTGGGATGAATAATCTACACTACCTCGTCGCGAGTATCCTAAAATAAGTGACCAATGATACACCTGTCTGTTATGTGGTTAAAGGTAGTCGACAGGAAACCCTGGATCTACGTTACGTACTAGTCGACACTCGTTAAAAAAACCATAACTGTAGTCGTGATGGGGAGTGATGCTATCTGTGCGAGTGCAATTTGATCGACGAAATTCGATCAGAACTAAATGATTAGACAAACATCACGTTAGTCACTACTTAATAATTAATCTATTGTAAGCACCTCTGTGTGAGAGATAAACTACCTAGATTAACCTACTCCATATGCATATACCTGTCTGTCTGAACTTGTGAAACTAGGTAGACTGATCAGTCGTTAACAAATATGTCGCCACGCGTTAGATAGAATCTTTCAGTACCGCCCAGTGAAGGGAAAGGTAGAAGTTCAAAATCATCTATTTTGCAATATGAAGTTGGTTACTCTTTGACATTATTTATAGGACCTTATCCAATCTATTTCTTTCACATTGCAGAATCGTTAGTTATGCTCCATCTAAAATTGAATAATGATGTTAAAAAATAGATCTTATAGTCGTTTTCATTGCCATAGCCTTAGTCTTACTACAAACTAGTGTTTTTCTTTCGTGATTTTATCTCTTTTCATATTCAAACTATTCAAACTCTCATCTTTAATCGATCCCAGATTTTCAATCGAAATTCAAAATTACATTTATGCTTTGTTATTATCTTATTGTTTCTAATCTAATCCTATTATCATTTACAGTGACCGATAATTGTCTACTTTAAGAAGAAACATATCATAATCTTTCACTACTTAGTTGTATTATGTAGCTTTATTCCCTTGAATTCTCGATATTAATTTTCCCAGATAATTTGTCGATTGGATCTCTATGAAGAATTAATTCGATTAATACTAATCTGTTACTAAAATCATCTACATGTTAACTGATTCACATCCATTATTATGGGCCCGTACTTCGTCAATTATACTTTATAGTATAAACATGCAAATGTAATATTTTTTTACGGTGTTTTGAAAAAAATGAATAAGGCGTTACGATTAGGCGATTCAGCAAACATCACTTGACAAGTACCAAAAGTAAACGGAATGTTTAGTATTATGTTTGTGATTCATGTGTTTTTACCCATTCCAAATCAGTGATAAATATTTTGGTATAAAGGAAATTATTGTTAGTTTGTGTATGAGATTTAGTTAGGCAGTTATTGTAGCCATATGAGAAGTAAAGACTCATGTATGAGACTTGATTAATTAATCATCGTTAGATCCCTAAACTACTAATCTATAGGATGAGATGTTCTTATCCAAACATAATGACGATGGTAATTATAATAGTAATGATTGATACGTCTAGTACTCAAACTCCTAACAATAACCTGATAACTGCTCCCCAGTTCACCAGAAATCCTCCTAAATGTGAGCCTCGAACAGTAAGAAGATGGCGGGAATTATGTAAAATGACTTACTTTTAAGGTTAGTTTGAATACAGAAAACACAAGTATTTGTCTATGGATGGCCTTTATATTCTGAAAGCTTCTGGAAACATGTTAAACTTATTAACAACATAGGCAATCCAATCGGAATGTGACACGCAATCCGTCATTTTCCTAAAAATTTCAGAGACGTCTACAGTGAAAACTGATGGAACGAATCGCTTTCAACATGATCCCAGCTTCTGAAGACTCCTCAACGATAATAATAGCATATTTGCGAAAACATTGACAGTAAAGTTGTAAAATATTGACTACAATGAATTTCGTATTTGACTACCCTACTAGTAGAGTTTCATTAGTCTGGTACAGTAGCACAAGCGACTTACAAAGTATTTCAGAAACTCACTATGATAATCAAATTCAAAACATCTCATATATATATATATATATATATATATATATATATATATATATATGATAGGTTTCGAAACATTTTGTCTAAAGTCTTTCTGATAATTGAACAATAAATACTATCAACAGTACATTACTTCAACACATATTTTTCAAACTGCAATATCTCTTCCAGTTTTTCATGAGATATATCGGATAAATTAATAAATTCATTATAAACTACAACTTAATTATAAAAGCTTTTGTTGAGATTGAATGACTTGAAAAGCACTTCTGCCCTGACTTATAACATACACACATATTAAAACGATGGTTAAACTTAAATGTTCATCCCTTTGTGGATAACTAGATAGAGCAGAATGAATTTATAAGGTTACCTTGTGGTGTGTGCTACTTATATTGACATAAGTAGTATATGACGTTAGTCGTGAACAGAAGGTCTGGCAACAGAGAGACAAGAGGATCAAACAGTAAAGAATCGAAACAGAATGCAATTTGCATGAAAATGCAAGAACAATGAAGTCTGAGTCACTTTGAGACAACTGGTGGACATTTTGCAAATTAAGCATTTACTTCATGATTGTTAGATTTTATTAACAAGTCCTATAATTTTGTGTTACATACGTTCGATTGTCTCCACTCGTGTACTGTTCACTACAACCTAACTTACATGATTTGATCCTAATTAATGGCAATAAATGAAAATATTCGGAACCATATTTAAAATGTAACCTAGTGACTGACAATATATCAGTTCTAAACCCTCTGTACAAAGGGTTTGTAACAAATAAAAATTATTTATCATACTTCACTATATGTATACATAGACTTGAATTTCTTGTCTCATTCACTAAACTGTAAGAAATATGGTGTTATTTTGATTGTTGAAACGGGAAAAAACCATAAAAACTATACAGTTCATATCATTTTAAAAATAAAAACTTAAGGAATCATTCAATAAGAAAATGTTATCAAGCCAATTTAAAATTTAATCCTAATAAGTATTTCTTTTTCCGAAAGAAAGATAAACGACTGCAGGAACTAATAACATGCAAATAAGAGTTAGTTATAAAGAAAGTAAACACTCAAACTTACAATTATATGCAGCCATTAGGTGATTTAAACCTTCTAGATAACAATCGTAGGCTTCACATAATTTCCCCAGTGATTCTAGTTGAGGCGCACGTTTAAGATATTCGGCCTGTTAAAGAGGAAAAAAATGTGAAAACCATAATTAGAATGATTTTACAAGAAAAAAATTATTTATTGTGCATGTTTTGAATAATATGAATATTCAACAATAAACTAGAATGAAATCAAATCTTTGACAAGAACCAATCATCACACTTCACAATGATAATTGATTTTTTCTTATAAATAAAGATATACGCCATAGTGTCACTGAACATAATGAGTAAAGTGTCATATTACACAAATTGTTAAGTGAATAACTAGAACACTGTTTTCCAGTGAATAACATCTACTAAAAACTGATATAATGTGAATTACCAGGTAATTCGTAGTTTTGGACTTTACTAATCTAAAAATGAAGGGAACATATCGTTTGAATAATCTAGAATATTTTGACTCCATTATCAAAATGACAAGGTAAAAAACAAGAGGATTGTAGTACAAAATATCCATTAACCATACAATTCAAAAATATATATCCTACCGTTCACTGATTGGATAACAATGAGTTGATAATGTATAATCAATGTGTTTTCCAACAATTGCTCGTATATTTTGGAACTATCAAGTTAATAAATTCGAGGTTAGACGCAGAGTACTAGGTAAATATGGAAAGTTAATTGACGAGCTAGTGAAACTTTATCGACTGAGATCGTTAGGACATGTATTACATATGCTGATGGCTGGTGTAGGGGAAGCTGGAAGAACTTTAGGAATGACCAGACCAAGACACGGCATCAGTGCATGGAGACGCTGACTATTGGAATGAGCAATGTAAGTACGTTCAGGATAACTTTTTAAGGTCCGCGTGGTTATCGCAAGCGAGGGTTAGAGACTATGGTTGACATGGCTCAAAATCATCTGCAATGCCTCAGGTGCATTTATTGTCTTCCCTCAAATCCTTATTTTTTAAATTCAATATATTTTTTTATTATTTCGTTAATTCATATTTGCTAGAATTGTATCTAGGATACCTAATCTCTTAAATCACCTCTCCATTCTGGGATTTTCCCTGGCAATTTCATCCCGCTGTTTTAATGTATTGTGGCAACTTGAACCAATGCACACATGTGCCAGCGCTTACGTTGCATCTGACTGACCAATCTAGTGACTTCTAGCCATCTAATTACAGTTTAGCCGATATGTCTACATTAAAAACAAATGTTTAGATCGAGAAAATAACAACCAAAGAAGAAGAGAATCGATACAAATCCACCTGGATAATCAACCAGTTAATAATAATAATGGTAAGATTATATAACCGAACTTACAGCTTTATCCAGACTTTGTGCTGATGGTGCATGATCTAAATCAATGAATGGATGTGAAAAAAATTGTTCATGATTTAATCGTTCAGAAGGGTTCCGTTTTAATAAAACCATGTATTAAGGCAGCACATGGTTTGCTTATTTCATTTGTAGAAGGTAACTATAAACATACAAAAAAATAGGTGAATTAACGGTTGTTAAACACTGAATGCTTAAAAATCCTCCAAGGAGAATAATAATTTATTGTTGTACAAACAATGAAAGTTTATATACATAATTGTACACAGAATCTATTGCTTTTCAAACTCTAAGAAAACATTCATATAAAAATACTCAACTTAAAATTCTACAAGCAATAAACACCGATAAGAACGGATACACTATGATCGTTAGGAACCAACACTTCCAAGATGGCAATGAATAAATCCGAGCAACCTAAAAAATGATGTGAACAGTAATATCCAACCTTTCATGAATATAATTGTTTTTGGCTTTATAGATGTCACTTTATACTCCCTGAACTTTACTACGAGCAACAGGAATCAACGGGAAAATTGAGTGATATCTTTGGGATTGGTCTTTTCTAACTCTTTCTTTAGTCCATCACACGGTAGCATCGCATAAAATTCTCGTTGAAAACACTTTAATGACGTCATAATTTAAACCTGACACCAAAATGACTACGCCAATTGATAAGGTATTCGCTACTCTTAGCCGTACATATCTCTAACCTATACTATAGGGTGAACTAACCAGGTTTGACATAACTATTTAGGTGTATGAATAAAAAGGATGTAGACTATAAACCGACGTTTGGTTGGTTGCAATGAAAACAATAAAACTAGGTACTTTCGAGATGTTGGATTGCCTAGAAAGACGATATTATATGTTAGTGGATATGAAGTGATGGCCAGAGTGTAAAGACAAATAGGAAAGAGAGGTATACAAAATAGAATATTCGGGTATTCCACTCTTCATACCATAATCGTTTTGCGGAATATGGTATAGTACTCTTTGTGTCTCACTTTTCGCTGCAGTCAATATTATTTCCCACTTTCTACTTTTCACCAGTGTGAGGGGACTAAGCGAGGTAAGGTTCGGATCTGACACCTAACATGATGGAATAATCAATAACATACTTGTTAAATCAGTACAAACATTAAAAAACATGATGCTTTAGTGCACTACATACAGTGGACAGTGATATAAATGCACTGCAAACAATAAGACCGAAAAGAATAATAATATATATGCAACAATGTGAAAGGGTACAACATGCTAGGAACATAAACTAGTGTGCCCAATTTTATTAAAAAACTAACACACAAAAGATACAACACCACATAACCCTATAAATCAGAACATATCTGAAGCTAAGTGCAAATTTCTACAGATCTACCTAGATATATTACACAATGAAAATAAACTTATACCAAAGTTGAATGGTAATGGAGTACAATAACTGAACAAAGTAATAGTTTACCCTAAAAAATCCTGGCAAAAATACACATGAGTTAACATTTTTATTGAAGTACACGTTTTGGTATAATTCATGCTGCAGACATAAAAATAAGTATAACTTTTTCTCCCAAAAAGCAAAAGTACTCACATAAAAAAACCAATAATCAATATAAACTACCTTAATTTGTTCATCCATTGCCACTAATTTCTCTTTTAATTGTTCAATTGTAACTTGACCATAGGGAGTAATGCCAAATAGGCATTCTATTTTATTGGAAAGAAATAAAAGAATTCAATATGGAAAAGTATAACTTTTTTGAACAAAAATTAAAGATAAAGAAATTATTTTATTTCACAGATCGAAATCATGAGTCAGTTGAAGCTAGACCACCATTGAAAACCTGGAAGCACTGGACGGCCGTTTCGTCCTAGTATGGGACTCCTCAGCGGTGCGCATCCACGATCCCGCACCACGCGGGGCTCGAACCCAGGACCTACTGGCTTCGCGCGCGAGCACTTAACCATTAGACCACTGAGCCGGCATCCAACGGTGTTAATGTCTAACTTCAACCAATCCACGAAGTTGCGCCACCATATACCATTGTCTTCAGTGAGCTGGTATCTCACAACAGACCTGGTTGTACTCCACTGGTCTAGCTTCAACTGACTCATGATTTCAATCTGTGAAAATTTCTAAAAATCTCCACAAACCCCTTCTGATATTTTATTTCAGTTGAACAGCTCAGTTTTCGCAGGGTGTGATATCAGTTGATGAGCTACTAACTTTCCTTTTCCCTCTGAAATACAAAGAATATTCGACATGACTTTCGTCCTTATCGTTGGTTGTCCTAAAAACAACTAAAAAACTCTAATAGTCAGGCCTTGATTTTAATACTTGTATGGGAAACATGATACTACAAGGCACTTAGAGTTTTGGTATTGTATAAATAACTTTCACTATATCGGGTTCCCAGAGCACAATTTCGTCACCGGCTTTCACTGGACTTTACAACATTTAATTGATAACTTAAAAAACTGGACTGATGTTAAATACATAAACTAAAAAATACGGACAAAGATAAAATGGAACAAAATTACACAACTTTTCTCTACAACTCATTAAGTCAGGCAGACAGTCAGTCATATATGCAATGTAAAACCCCGCACAAAAATGCATTAGTTCAAATTACCACACCATATGTAACATATAACAAAATAAAACTATCAAGACAAATCCCGAAGTGGTAGAGGTAGTAAACGAGATTAGGCAAAGATTCTGTTAAACGATTCCGAGAAAAATACAACAAATACATACTACTGACGCTGTGTGCCAGTCAAAGTAAATGTGATTGGTTATCGAATGTAGACAAACAGGAACTCAACTTACTGACGATTAAATATGTGACTTCCACTACTCTTATTGATTCCTACTACGGACTCAATGAAAATGGCTGCTTGTAATTGTGTGGAATAAAGTATCATCTAGCGTTACTCTGGCTCTACATTCTTGGTCATGAATCGGATATCCGATATGACGTGACCTGGAATGAGTGTAGCGGATCGTCCGAGTATTCAACCTAGAGATATTGTAAACTCGGTCACCTAGATCCGTCTCATTATCATATATTCCTATTATCGTAGTATGGTAATACCAAGTGCAGAGAGAAAATTATTTCAATCAATCCGTAATATCAAACACATAAATCAACGAATCTTTATTCCAACATCCTTTGTACGGTGTCAGCTTCCAAACTATTTCATTAGTGGCTTACTCAATAAGAAATGGTTTGATGAAGTAGGAATGCTAAATATATCATGATTACTGTACATGACGTCTTCAAACAGTTTTCTTATAACTTAATTTCGCTAACTTCAAGGGACATGTTAGTAAAGATTTTGGAGTCGATAGTAATATTTATAGCGATGAAAAAGATCCGAAGAGAAACCTAATAGCAATTAAATGAGTGAGATTATGAAGCAATGTTTCTTCAAGCAAAATATCGAAAAAAACGATAACAAGTTTTGAAAAAATGTTAAGCTTCATAAAAATACCAAACTCTTACAGACCTCATCACTCCTCAAGCAAGAAAGTTTTACAGACTCTCCTTATTAGTTGAAAAGTGATTTCAAAACTCCAAGGTCATCCTTAACATTTCTAACTGACTCTTCTTCATCATATAGCTACTTTATTCAGTTTGATGGCTCTCACGCTGAATTTACTGCAAGCTACTTTTAAATTGGTTAGTTCTTAAAAACCATACAACTGAATTATGATAAGCATATCTGTGAAACGGCTGAATGATAATCCTTTCAAGAATAACTGGATACCATAGTAAGAAGTAATGGTTTGAATGGATACATCGAAAAAATAGGTGTATGATTGAAGCTACAGAAGTGACGTAATTTTATTTTATGGAGATGTCGATTAAATCCATCCTTGGAGTGTGTTTCCCTTCCTTATGAGCATAAAATATTGGTCCAGGACTTGTCTGAATCAATACTTTAGCCAATCATAGGGAGCAACCCTGAAGGGTTGATGTCTAACAAAATCTCGGTACTCATTCCAAAGCTCGCTTGACCTTTACAAGTTTATATCACCTGTAAAGCAAGCAAAATGCCATCTGGTAACGAACGATTCAAGCACAATGAGTATAAATTAGTCCCGTTTTGCTTTATGGCTGGGAAAAGTACATTTTAGAAGCAGAGGATATTCACAATCATTAGAAAATAGGTGTCTTTGAAGCATATAGTGAGACCACTAAGTGAGCAATGGTGGAACTAAGCTAAACTAGAAACCGTCGCCTGGGAAGGTTAGAATGCGTGGTACATATCCTGATACACCACCTAACCCAATGTGAAACATTCCTTGCCATAGAAGTAGGCCAGAAGACATACAGCGGTGAACAAATTAAAATGCTGAACCAATCCAGGAAGTTACCGATTGCTGGTCTCAATCCCGTCAGTAGTTGTAGATCTTTTATCTGAGACCCACGCAGTACTTTTAGTCAGTTTTTTTAGACGATTGGTGAAAAAGGAGTAAAATCAGTCAGTGATACAGTTATATACAGTACCCAACTTCCTATAGATCTTGAGTTAAGTATCATTCCTAACTTTACATTCTCCAAAACACCAAATCCTCTTGAATAACATTTCTCACTTTCAAGTTTAAATTGCGATAGATATTATTTTCCATCCAATGATCTCCGTCATTTAAATTTTCTCTCTGTGTGATGTGGAATGTGGCAACATGGACTGATACATATCCGTCCCAGGCTTTATTTAGACAATGAGTGACTGACTTTACTGAAGTTTACCCTAGGTATGACATAACATTGACCACCGTCAGACGATAAACTGTATAGTATCTAGCACAAAATACCAGAAGGCTAAGCGCCTTCGCACTTCTTAGTTAGATATTTATCTACATTATTTATGATTTTCTAGATCAATTAACTTGAATATTGGTTCGGCAATTTAAGCTCTCCGAATTTTGCTTATTTCGGTTAGGAGAAAAGAATAATATCACAAAATCATACAATGAGTGTGACTGAAAGTTGAGTACAAGAAAATATGCTAGGGAGATGAACCGCACTAAATCGATTTGTCAAGTTTATCTCATTACCATTTTCAGTATTACCTATCGAGATAGATGGTTGGTAGCCATTTGTGATGGTCATGAAATATTGAAGCTTTACTGTAGTTAGAAATGTAAATCCCTTGATGCCAAATTAATGGTCAGAAGGTCGTAAAGTTTGAACCCTGCTGGGGCTGCTAAAGTACATTGCTGAGTGTTATATCCGAGTGGAGATTAAATTACAGGTAACTCCCAAGGACTATTAATGGACTAATATTCTATAAATATTCTTATTGTATAATTATTCAACAATTACATTACGTATATTTATATTCCTCTTATTATAAGCTTTATTTTGACCTATAATTTATTATTATACGATTTACGGTTCTTAATCTATGCTCAGTCTATTATTCACTGTCCCCCTCGTGCACAGCCACTTTTTGGCTTATTTGTGTACACATGTTATTTTCTAATTTATGGTGCGTTGTGGTCTGTCTGGTTGATATATAAACCGAGTATGTTTGAAATAAACGATCTGCTCTGACTCGAAGCTGGTATTGTGTTCTGGACTCAAGTGGAAGGGCTCGGAGGACATAGGACCAGTAAGGACGCTAGACTGCCCGCACCGGTTGAACGTCATTGGTTGGCCTAGTGTAAAGATCCGTATAAGTCGTATCCGGATTGGTCGATAGGTCGCGTGGTAGCAAAACAAGACATCCAAGGTCATAACACTGAGGAGTCCAATAACATGGCCAAATAGCTGCCCAGTGTCGCACCCATTTTTAATGGTAATCTAACAAAACCCAGTCCGTGATATAAAACTACGAAACTTGTGAAAAAACCTACTGACCTAGTGGCTAAGATTGACCACACTATAGTGAGAACCTACAGAGTCATAATGATCCCATATTGTCAAAAGTACCATTCAACTCACCATATAGAATAATACCAATAGACCATAGATCACATGAAGGATGATAAAAACCCTCGCAGAATATTTCAGGTGCCATATACAATAATGTGCCACGAACTTCATTCTTTTTAGCTGTCTCTTTAATACATTGGGCGAATCCAAAGTCTGAAATGTTATTAACGAGAGAATAAATAGATCGATCAAACCATAGATAAAGCAAAACGATGGGCAAGTAGTTATTAAATGCCTCCCTTTATAATAAATATGATGAAAAGTTTACGAGGAACAGAAAAAAACTAATCAATGAACTGACTACAACAACAACACAAAAACTAGATAAAGTCGACGGCTTTATGATGAAACAACATGAAGTTCCATGTATACTTGCTAACTGTAAAAGGGATCTCCTTACTTCTACAAATATATGAGGTTTTATGGGCTCATTTTCAGTGTCTTCACCAAACAGAACACCATCTTAGTATTCTAAGTCAACAAAAAGTGGACATATTAACACCACTCAGATCGATTCTGATCCACATCACCCACTTTCTCTAACCGTTGGTCAGGATAATCACGCAGACCCCGGACAGGCAGTAAGCACATGTCAACACAGTTCATTTCAATAGTCAGTGACCTCATGGACTGATATCAAATTTTGGCTTGACCACTAGTAACATTCTACCAACCCATTCCAACCCTAGTCAGGATTGTATGATTGTTCGTCATACACAACACTTATCCCAGTCAGCTAACTCAATGAGGGCTCATTACGTCGCTAACCAATTTGTCATATTTGCCAAGTAGCCTACGCCTAATCTTAGCATCATTCACTCAATTGTTCACGATAAGAAAGTATTGTCTCGATGATATGTATGACCAAAAACCTGCTGTTTACACATGATTCCTATTTTCATGGACCACTTTTCACAACAACAATAGAGAGTGAACTGATATGTTAAACATTTGCTTAATTCTTTCACAAACAGACATCTCATCTACGGACACGGGTGACGTACTAGACAAAGGTATTAGGGTCTTTTAAATCCGTGTCACGATTTCGTTCGACAACAACCCACCAGGGTTGGTGAAACTTTCAACGTAAATGGTGGTCAATACGCCCAACTACTTCAATCCGTATGATCACTTAGAAAATTTCTGAAGCAAAATTTTGCATTTAACGAGGAAGAGATGGATTCCAGACATTCTTGTAAGGCTGTAAAATCAAAAGACAACTACCTGAGGAAGGTGACACAAAAGCTTTGGTGCCCTTAAAGCACTGCTTGCATATGTTGAGAAAATCGAATGAGCTATCCTAAAAACAGATACAGGGTACTAGGTAAATATGGCAAATCGGTTGATAAAAATTTTCTTCACTTAAAGCCTGAGCTCTAGAATTATTTTATAACTATTATTAGGTGAGCTCATTCTTTCAGCATTATCCTCTCTATCCCTAAATTACTAACCTTATTGAAATTACTGATACTATTTCTACCGCCGCAGTATTCATCCTGATGTTGCTGTGTTGATATAGCGTAGTAACTTGGACTGAGGCAAGCGTGTGTTAGATTATGTTACTTGTGACTGACTAACCTTTTCATGGGTATTTTCTGGTACATTAGCCCTTTATTCTACAGACATTGCTACTGGAGACAGAAATCCTCTGGGTAAAATTAGGTGTTATTTTTATCCCAGATTTTATCTAACTCCTGCTGTGAGGAGGCAGTATTGTTGAAGATAATGGCTGTCTGACGGAAAGAATTTGTTTTTGCCATATTGGCGTACAGTTGACAGTACAACTCCGCCCATGGACCTTAAGTTTGCTGTTTTTGAACTTACCGCTTTCCAATCGCCCTGCCTGGTATGGCAGGTGTTATGTTCTATAGCCCGTCAACTACCACGTGACAAAACCGCCAATCAGAACACCGACTTATAAGATCTTGGCCTTGTGCCAAAACAAAGACCCGTTAACCAGTACGAGCATCCTAGAGTCAACTCTGAGTCTTTATTGTTTCTGACCTATCCCTGCCCTTTGAGTCCAGAACACAATCTCAGCTTCCACTGTATGTATAATATATTTCAGATATGCACAGTTTATATACAAGCAAATCAGATCGCATCACACCATGAGATAGTAAATAACAATTATACAAGATCAAGCCGAAAGTGGTTAGAAGTGTGAGCAGGTTGGAAATAACTTATGAATAGTAAATCGTATAATAGTAGTCAGGAGATCAAATGAAAGCTTGTGATAAAAGGAATATGAATATACATATAATCTGGTTACTTAATAGTTATCCAATAGGAATGTATGTAATGATAGTCCATAAATAACTCTTGCCAGTTACCACTCAATTACTCATCATTCGGATACAACAGCAGGACCTAAAGGAATAAGTGTCCCAGCCAATACAGCTCAATTAGATAACCAGGATATAGAAGCCTGACCACTTTATTAAGGTGCCAGCTATTCAAAGAGACATCTTATGACAAACATTCGTTGCCAATATATATCTTTCCCTTACCCTACGTTTGTAAATCCGAACCCAAATGCCCCGGTACGGCCGAGAGCGCGGCGGGTTCGCCCTCCCTCTCGAAATACTCTCACACGGCCACGCGTATACAGCCTCTGCCAGGGAAGTCCTACTCATTGCCTTCTCGTGGAGGGGGTGTTGTTTACGAAAATGAGAGGACGAAAAGCGAATGTCCGGCGCTTTAACCGGATCACAAACCAATGGTGCACATGGGCTCCACTATCCTGCGGGAACAAATGGCGTATGAACCAATTGTTGGTTACAGGCTACCATGGGAATGCATCTCCTCACGATGCTCCACTGCCTTGTGGGTTAGACCATTAGGTCAAAGGCTCGGGGTGTGGCCCCCTAAGATAACCACCTGCTTCGGTTTGGGCACCCGGGCAGTATCACAGCCCACACACAAAAAGCGTGGTGCATATATATTCGGCGCACTCCTGTACCAATATATATGTGTTCAAATAAATAAATAAATAAATAAATATAAACTGTTCCTATGTCCGAAACCCCACTACGTGGTGATTTCAGTTAACCTCCATCGGTTATATACATTGTACTGTTGTCAAATGGAAATGCATCCAGTAAATTTACGCCTTTTAGTCGGGTTATGGAATACAGAAAGTCAATCTAAGGGAAATCTAAAAATGTGTCTCCAACCCCATGTTTGGAAAGAAAAACGTATGTGAACTTTCTCCGATCGCTATCCCTTCAAGTATTGCAAACATCGATCTTTTTATGCTGATGACACATTACTCATGATTTCAGAAATGGTAGGAGGGGTTTACAGACTAACCATGCTTTAGTCTGAGAACCAAGAGGGTATCTATGACAAGGAAATTATGTATAATGGTTAAAGCGTCAGTTTCGAAAACTGGGTCACAAGTTTGAACTGTGCCAGTATTTATCTGAAACCTGTGGAGCATATACTTGGTTACTGGGTTGCATCGCCACCGACAAATTTGTGGGCAATATATGCACTGGCACTCATTTTCTAGTGCAATTAAATAGATAATAAGTAAAGACCATTCGTCGATAAAAAGTTTTGCTGCATTGTCATAATTTTCTTGCAAATGGTAATTTGTAAGAAGACGATTTGACGGTTGTTTTATCACAGTCCATAAGATCAAATACTTCTTAATTACACCTAAAGTGAACTGCAGCTTACAGCTAGACAGAACATCATGTTGACAAGCCTAACTAAATATCTACATCTAAATCGTCTCAGAATATTATATAAACAGCTTGGTAATACTTTCCGATAGATTATGCGGTGGCACTATTTATTCTGACAATGCTGAAAAGCGAACCAGATCTACTAATAAACGTGTAGAAATAATTTAGAGGTTCAGTCGTTTTATCTGGTGTCAGACTGTAATGAAAACTATCTTCGAAAATGACTTTATAATTCTATTATGTACTTCTATATAAACGAAAGGCACTGCGTGTCATATTTTATAAAAAAGGTAATAAAAAGTAACCGTACTCACCGGCAAGCTTCAAGCTTGGATTGTTAATTGATGTGAGCAAAATATTCTGAGGTTTTATATCCATGTGGACTATATTTTTACTTTTTAAGTATTGAAGAGCTAAAGCTATTGGTTATGATGAGGTAAATGTCAAGATATACACTTGCTTACCTAACTGTTGTAAAAAGCGTTGCACAAGCAGTTCGTCTAACCTCCTTTTCAACCTCAAAAATCTGCTAAGATCTCCTCCGCCACAAAACTCCATTATAATATACACAAAAGATGCATCCCACTAATCCGAAAATCACTAATTAATATAATCTTACTGTAAAATCAAGCATACGAACAATATGGGGATGCTCAAGAGCTTTCAAAATAGAAATTTCACTGACTAAATTATCCCGGGCTTGATTGCTTAGTTTCAACTTCATAATGCATTTAATTGCTACTAGCTTACTTGAACCCTTGGAAAAATATGAAGGTTATGCATGAAATTTTTACTTACGGACTTTCTTCCCATGTATACTTGTCCATACGTCCCTCGTCCCAGTAGCTGGGAAATAACAAAGCCCGGTACTTTGATCATTTGAAGGAATGACCAAACGTGTTAGTTTCCCACCTGATAAATATTATGATCTAGATAAGAAAAGTATGGAAGCGATGCATGATAAAAAATTAATCGTGATAAAAATCTATTAGTAGTTCACCAACTGAAAGTCAATAGCCAAACAGAAGTCACTATAATAGGTTCTGAGTTATTAACCCACTGGAGGAAATAGGTAGAGCGGAACGTGTATCTGTGGCACAAATAATAAAAACAAAATATTCGAACCACCTGATCAGCCCCATGTTAAAAGCAGATTAACACAGATTCGGACACCATATTGCATAGGTTCAAAACGACGGTTAGTAGTGCACATTTTCACAAACAGGTACAAAAAGTAATCTAGATACTTATTCATAAAAACTCAAACTCCAGGTTATACCTTTTAAAATCTAATGTAATACGAGTTTCAATTTCTGAAGAACTAGTGGGTAAATAAATGCACTTGTTGACTGACGCCCTATATATGACTAGAATCAGAGTAATAATGGACATTAGAGGAGCGTATATATGCAAGCAATTCTCAACAAAGAACTCACTCTTTATATTCACCACATCCTCACATTTAAGACCAATTTTCAACCTCTAACATATAATACACAACTGATAGATTAATTAGGTAGGACTGTTTGTGTCGTCCTAGAGGCACTACGACAACCTAGTTGCTAAAATTGCAGGTTCAACACGTTCAGAGTTTGTACATCAATCACTGATGAGATGATTTCTAACTCCTGGAGTATGTCTTCAAGGTTTTAATGATAGCACATTACCTAGCCGATTAAAATTGATGGTACATTCAGTAGATATGTCGTGGCTGCAAAACACGACACATCATAAAAATATTCAATATTGGAAAATGCTACAATAGTCTTATTATTCTCGCCCTTCACTAAATGTCTAAATCTGAACTGACTATACTACTAACAAGGTGAATTTCATCATATTCTGCAGTGACAAGTCCATCACATTTCTTACACCTAAAAATTGTGTTTCTGACACTGATTTTGATTATATTATTAATGCAAGTGGATTATTCCAGAGATTTCCACGATAATATCCACCAAGTAACTTAATTAACACTGACTTTTGATGTCCGGACCTAACCACCTGGTTAGATACATTTCGAAATTACTTCACTACTAGTGAAAACATCCCCAGCACTAAGTATAAACACTGCTAATTAAACAACGAGAAATCATCTGGTAGCTAGAAAGAGGGAACCATCGACACATTTTCCGAAAACATGATCAAGAAGCAAGGTTTTACAAGTGCCATTGCAGCAATCGACAAATAAAATAAGTCAACTAAATATCATAAAAGATATCTACATTTGCCCATGTAACGGGACAACTAAAATACGCGCCTTCGATTCCCAATCATTGACAAGAAAATTCGTATAATTCAAATAGGCGTCGACTGAAAAGAGGGAGATTTCACTTAACGAGCTTCCGCGTCCAAGAGTAATGAATCCTCGATGCTTCAAGGCACAGACCTAAGCATTTCAAGTGAACAAAAGAGAAGCATTGGTAAATCAGAATGGTATATTCTACTGTGTCCTAAAGAATACGTCAACTTTCCTCTAGAAGGACTACTAGGAAGTTCACTGGACCATCTAAGTCCCTAGGGTACATTACATCCACTTTACCCTCGCGATCGAGGGTGGGTGACCATCTGTCGATCGCAGTCAGCAGTCCGTGTCTCAGAAGTTGTTCTTCCCAAAGCCATGCTTTTGGAGTGAAAAGAAGTTTATCGGAAAGCGGTAGTCTCTTAGGCAGCCGTAATTCAGGAGTCCAAACACATTTGTAGCTACTGAAAGGAGAAATATCCGTCAGTGGTTTGGAAGATCAGGATTTTGTCAGGATTGAGGCTCTTTCTCACAGAAAGGCAGAGTGAACCATGTTCGACTCGATATGTGTATCCTTGTCTTGTTGCACTAGTTTACAGTACCCCAATGTAGTTTCTAGCTCGTTTCGGAAATTTCTGTTAAGATGCAATTAACGCTCTTTTCAATTGACTTGTGTACGACAAGTGAAATGTTTAGGGATTCTTTATTGTCGGATAAGTCCATCAAACCCTTCCTCTAGCTTTCTTTTAACCTACTCTTACGCCGGATAACAACTCCCGTCTAGATAGGCGGCAGTTGAGGTTATAAGATATATGCCCCAACCACTTTAGTTGACGAAGATTTGCCCTGTAGCATTAACAGCGAGGATGATCCTGTTGAGGTTCTTACAAAATACTACATATGACCGATTCTACTGCATAGAAGGGACATTTAAGATGTTCCAGACAAAACTCATTACTTTAACCATTTGAAGGCTTCAAAGGGGCTGTTGTTAAGAATGCATGGTTAAAGGTGCTAATGATATCGCTGAGCTATAACTTTGAGGGTGACTGTCGGTAATGTCAAAATAACCTTTTATTGCACAACGCACGGAGCGAGTGAGGCTCGAGACTGCCATTTAAACTCACAATTCTTTCATTATTTAATATACAAACAGAAAATATAGCCCATGTATAAATAAGTAGATAGCTATTTCACCTTAAACGTCTTCCTCTTAGCAGAAGGTTATCTGCTAGCTCTTAGCCACCTAACTTAAGCCAATACAAATACTTCATATAGAATTATGTGATAACGTTGTTTCGTGGATTTCCCTGTTATTCTTATCAAAAGAGGGTAATGTCTATTTACTTGAGATGTCATCGTTTATCTAATATTTATCACAACGACTAACTTGAACTCACTGAAATCTGTTCTCTGGATGGCCATAATTTCGTTGTAGTTAATCTTGATCACCGCATTGAAAATTTCGAGGGGTATGTAGAAAAGTGGTAGAAATTATCCTCATAAATAAAGCAATTTATTGCGTCACTGACTAAAGAACACAGGTTTTCCAGAAAGCACAGTTCTCTTTTCCAAGATATCATTTACTAAATTTGTATGTTTGTATATACAATAATTTAATGAGTACAGGAATCTAACGAAAAACAGAAAAACAAGTTTGCAAGTGGAGTAAGACTGACTAGTTTCATGGTCCTCAGGACTGATATAAGATTTATATAAACTATTTTGGGTTCATAAATCCAACTTGACATCTTGATGGGAACTTATTGCCGGCAAGCCTTTCATGTGCCTTGTACAACGCTTCAAAACACCAACACATTTTGACATAGAGAATTAAAGTTACTGTTGGAACCTGTCTTCATACATCCTCAGTGTGATGTTACATAGGCGGATTCTAATTTGGTATAACCCTCTATGGTGTGTAAAAATCCCATCTATATGTGTTCCCCGTGGTGACTATTTCTTCGTTTTTTCCTTCTGTGCATCTTTTATTTTATCTTTGTCTGTATTTCCGTATATTGGTTTTTCTTTTGGTTTGCTTACGACTACTATAACTATTGCACTGTCAGAAATTTTTGAAATAGGACTGATCTGGTGATGCGTTAAGTCATTTGGCAACTATTTCATCTTTGACCTACGTAAAATTTTGCTTTATAGCGGGTGTCATATTGTGTGATCGTCTTGTTGGTTCCCGTGGTTTAATTATAGAATCCATCTCTGCTGAGGAAGAAATTTTATTCTCTAAATGTTATGAAAGTGTGGGGGTAAGTAAATCCTCAAAACACACAGTTCTGAAAGTTTTCGGCAGTGATACTGGTCTTATTAAATTTACTCGACACTTTCTAGCTGAAGGCACTCGGTCAAGCATCCGTACCAGATCTTACCTGTAAACTTGCATGCCTCATGTAACAGACTGTTAGTTGAGAATAAGTTTTTGCCGTTATTATCACAAATGAGTATGTACTGCTACGCATCCCTTGATAGAGTAGATCAGATTAGATAACACGATTTTCGATATATCGATAGCCTTCCAAATATGTATTTGAACTACTTCGTTTCTGACTTCTGATTTGTGGTGGATCCCAACAAAGAGCTTATTAAAGATATATCAATACGCAAGGTTATCAATAATATACCAAAATAGTTAACAGCAAAACCCTAGGTGTCTATCTATGAGTAAAGCAAAAGGTAACAAATTACAGTTACAATACAGATGGTATATTAAACAACAAGATAATGACAGTTGTTATGAAATCAATGTTACATGTAAGCTGCTCTCTGAGACAACAACCACAAATGAGTTCAGTTGATCAACGAAGATTCCTCTGCACGTGGTGGCACCAGCGGCGTAATGAGAGTGACTGAATCCAATAGCATTATTCAATAGTAATCCGGACCGAAATTCCGACGCAATCTGGGAAGGCACAAAAGGATGTTATAACACTATTATAATCTTCACTCAAAGGCCGAGGCCAATAAAGCAGAAAAACATAGCGTTTATATTTCAACCACCGCAGTAGAATATTCGTAAATGTATATCTAAATAATTATGATCGTTTTTTAAAAATTGATGCAGGAAAACAATAGATATTGAATAAAAATGTGGTTACATATAAAGTGTGACAGATTAGAGAGAAAATGCGGTTTTTATTTCGTTGTTACAAAAATCACTGAATATACATGTCACCATAGACTTGACCTGGTCGGTATACTTCGATTAAAAAGATGTTACGAGTGGAGGCGTTTTCAAACTTCCAATACCTATGACATCTTTAGTGGTTATCCCGACCTGATCTCGTACACTAAACAGTAAACTATTAGTCTTTTCCCCGCTGGGACATTATATATCACTTTAATTTTTACGTATTGTGGCATTGTTCTATTGTATGTTTAGATATATTTTCCTATCCATTGGTATCTTATACACATCATGACGGAAGATAACTAAGCTAATTATCATTAAGTCCATTTTGTCGCCCACATTTCAGCCCATGCCTTTCCGGCCGGACAACATACCAGCCCGGTTCTACCTGAAAAGTTGAGATTGGTTAAAAACGAATTCGATCATATGATAGACTCCAGAATTACCTGGCCATTCAACAGCCGATGGGCCTCGTCTATGTACACGGTTACTAGAAAGGATAGCAGTGATTAGCGTCCAACTTGTAACTATCGACAAATGAATACGAAAACTATTCCTGATAGTTACCCGTTATCTCGCATTCACGAGTTGATAGCTAACATACAAAAATCAACCACTTTTTCCGAAAATCCATTTGTTCAAAGCGTATAAACGAATTCACATGGACACAGGCGATATCCGAAAAACCGCTATCATCACTCTATTCGGCTTCTACGAATTTTCGCGCATGCTTTCGGCTTAGGAAATACTGCAAAATCTTTCAAGAGATTTATTGATGACGTCTTTAGAGGTCACAACTTCGTACATGCGTATGTTGATGACTGCTGGATCCCAAGTCTGGACAGAAAGTCTCATTATTATTATTATTATTATTATTCACAAACATCTTATGGGTACATAAGTGTTGTGAAGAAACCATTTCGGGTTTCTTCAAAAAAATGCAATAATACACATTTTTCAATAATGTCAGCATTCTGCTTGCCATTAAAAAAAAATTAAAAAAATTTTGAGCAATAATAGTAGAGTATTAATAATAATAAATCGGGTCTGTGCAATTGAGAAGAATATTGAATTGGGTTTAAAGAAGGAAATGGAGAAAATAAGGGAATAGAAATAAAGGAGACGTGAAATACGCAAACAGTCTAATAGGCGTGTTTACGAACACAGAACAAGAATAAACGACTATGTTTGTATCGTCAAATTAGTAACAAAAAACAATTAAGAAAAAATAACTTATAATTGCAGTAAGACATGACGCTAGAATAAATGTTTGTGCAGTCATAGTTTGCAGTGATGCGATGAAAGTCTCAATCGAGTGAAAAAGATAATAAAATATCAATATGTATGAGACATATATGCATAGTGAAGATAAAACGGGTCTGAGAATTTAATTTAAGTGTAACACAAGTTATTGTTTTAATTACAAACTTCGTAATCTTGAGAATATTTATTTAGAGGGAAAGAATGGAGTGAAAAGAAGTGAACACCTAGTGAAAAGTTTTGATCCATGATAAGAATAATAATTGTGTAATGAATATCAACCTCAGAAGGAAACCAGCAATTGCAAAAATAAAATAAAAATCCGTTAAAGCACTCGGATGAATACATTTAGATTTATGTAATAGTATACAGAGTGAAACCGGATATTAGTATAAATATTTGTGCAATAATAATTAAGATTGATGCTATGAAAGTCAAAATTGATTTTAAAGGACAATCTGGAGTTAAATATGTTTAGAAGGATAAGAAGATACAAAAAGAATATCTAATGTGTCAGGGAACTAATAATGGTATTAATAACGGAAATAATGATAAACACGAACATAATCAGATTTCATATATTAAGATAAATAGAAATAAAATAA